TATCATCATCGTCATTATCATCATCATCATAATCATCATCATCATCATCATCATCATCATCATCATCATCATCATCATCATCATCATCATCATCATCACTTTTGATCGTTACTAACTGCTACTTGTGGAATAACCTATTCAGTCGCATTAGATGTCAAGGAATCGTTCTAAAATCGAAAGAAAACAAATAAAAAAGAACGCCACCGAATAGCAGAACGCCACGTAAACAATTTACGTTGTACTCAGTAATAATTACACACCGGGGACTCATGAAGTTATTGGATTGTAAAATGTCTTTCATTTATATTTGACAAACAGTATAATTGATTTCGCACAATAAGTCAATCGTATTGAACAGTGCATGGGAATTAAAATTATTCTGTGGGAACAGAAAATATACGAAGTATACTTTGATTGATTGTAGCAGATCAATTGCGGTACGTCAAACTAGTGAAATCAAAGAAACCAACATTTTCTGCCTGTTGGGCAATTTTCATCGGTTTATTTTAGCTTAACACCTTCCAGCCATATTTAAAACACATATATTATTATAAGTGTGGGTTTTACTGAAAAATGTAAATCAACGGCAACCCCGTACCAATAAATAAATAGAAAGATAAATAAATAAATAAATAAATTAATTAATTAATTTACCTTTGTCAAGGACACTCAAGCTTTGAAACTCACCAAACGTTGACGGCCATTTTCTCGACAATCTTATGTCTGATACCGCTCCCTCCCCCCTTCCTCTCACTCGCCACCTCCTTCAATAGCAAAAACCTCGACTTCTATGCAAGATAGATGGGTATTCATCGCTTCATTAAAAGCAAGGCAAATAAACTGGCTTTACTTTAAGATGATACCAATACTATACTCAAAAACTGATGAAGACCTGATTCCAACGTGTCATGACAAAAATATTTGATTTACGTTTTCGATCTAATATACACCGGTCACTTATAGAACATTTTGGACCCTACTGGCTTGACAAACGTCCGAATCATTTTTACCATTGACTAACCTTGTTTAAATTTGACAACATGGCGAAGAAAGTGTTTTCCGCATTGTATTGGACGATTTCGAAGGTACTTTGCTCAACCAGAAAATGCACTATGATACGTCTTTATTCCCCTTTTGTGCATTATTTAGAAATACATGAATAATAATCGTGCTCACTCTTCATATATTGTTATTGTTATTATTATTATTATTATTATTATTAT